GTGTACTTTTGTGTGTAGAGTTGGTGTTTGTATATAATTTTAGCGTTTTAATACAGGAATGTGTTTGCATGTAATGTTTGTATTTGCATGCAGGGGGGTGTTTGGATGTAGTGTTGTCTTTTAAATACATGTGTACATTTGTGTGTAGTATTAGTGTTTCAGCAAACTGGTGTGTTTGTAATGTTTGTGTTTGCAGGGGTCTGTTTGCATGTTGTGTGATTTCTATAACACATATACACATACACATTAACACGCAGATACACACATGCTCACACTGACACATGCTCACACCTTGACACATACTGGCACATACACATACACACACACTCAGATACACACCCTTTGACACACAGATACAAGCACTTTGATATACACACACTGGCACATACACACACACACTGACACAGGTATATACACACACACTCAGATACACACATACATCAAGGTATAAATGCAGGGGTGTATATGTGTACAGTGCTAGAGATGGAATGTAGGAGTGTATTTGTGTTGGCATTAAAATGCTGGGATGTATGCATTACCACACACTCAGATGCACACTTACACACACACTGAAACACACACACAGGTGCACATACAGGTGTATGAGGTATCCATACACACAGAAACACTGACACACAGACAAACACAGCCAGATACACACAAGGACATCAACACAGCCAGATACACACATATATATGTGTACATTTACATATTTTAATCTCTGCCTTCTAGCAGCTCTTGGACAGCAACTCCCAGCAACCTTGGCCAATATAATGTCTCAACTCTGTTCTTACATACCCTGGTCCAGAATTTGGCAAAAGTGACATTTGAAAATGGTGTACAGCCTTTGATAACACTTGATGCAATATGTTAAAATAAATACTTTTTAAATTTATATTTAATAGGGAACTGTCAGGTTCTTCTAGGATTTTTAACATGTACTTATTCCCTGTGTGTTACATTACAAACACCAACACACTTAAATAAAAGTGATATCAGAAATTAGCAAAACAAAAAACAAAACATATTTAGCCACCCTCCTGTCTCCTTACATTTTGGGTACAGAAAGGTGGCTTCCCTGGTGTCCAGTGAGAGCTTGCTGGCCCAGGCTGATGGGAGTCTGCCATCAGCTTTCTCAGTCCCTCTCCCCCACAATGCTTGCATCCTCCTCCATGTGGTGTGTGCCTCCTCCCCAGCGGCACTGAGGAGGAAGTGATCAGTTCTTACTGGGAGGAAGCAATCTGACCTCACTTCCTCCCAGCATGCCCAGGAAACAAAGAGACTCACAGGGCAGTATGTGAGGGGGCTAGCTGTGAGTATGTAGTCAGCCACCCCCCATATAACAGGGGCCCGGGCCGGTCCAGAGCAGTATTAAAGGGCTGTGGCCCCTGATTACCTCAGGTGCCGCAGGGGGCCCATGGGGCAGCTGCCTTAGGGCCCCCAGGAGTAACTGGGCCCGGGGCAGCTGCCCCTTTTGCCCCTCCTTAAAGACGGCCCTGAGCGATTAGAGAAAAGCTGACTAAACTATTCAAAATAAAGCACGAGACATTTGTGAGAGGAGGTAAGCCGACTTACTTAGATTCAGGTAGCAGGGAAGGCCTCTGGTAGACTCCCGACGGGGACAGGGCAGGAAGAAAAGCACATCCCTTAGGACACCTTCTTTTTGTTGAGAAGCCATACTTGGCTCCTCCCCCCCTTTACCCTCACCCTTCCTTCTCTGCGACCTCGACCCTTTGAGGTACTCCTATTATCTTCTTTTTTCTTACACATCTTATTTCCGGAATCTTATCTTCCGACGGAATAAGGAGGGAATACATGCGCGAGACAATAGCGACTCGGGAGCAAACGTACGATTGTATATTACGCTTAGACGTTTCCCCCCCACCCCCCTTTTTTTTTTATCTCTCTTTCGAGTATACCTACGTATGCAAACACGAGAGCGGTCGGCTTATATTATTTTACATATTATGTGTTATCTGTTAATTGTTTTATATACTATATAAAACCAGGCGGGATATCTAAATATACATAGGGAAGAGAACTGTCGAAATGTAAACTCAATTAGAGGTATCTAGCTACAGGAGATGGGCGAACGGGACTGTTGACCTATCACATGATTGTAATAACGCCTTGTACACAGTTTACATGCCTGTTTATGCATAACCCTACCTTGATGTATATGCATTGTTTTACGATGTCGTGTCTTAGAATAAATAAAGAATAAAAAAAAAAGAAAAGAAAAGCATTGTGAGGATATTGCGTATGTTTTCTATATGTAACATTCAGCTCCTCCATGCAGAGCGTGGAGACGCTGAACAAATGTGCTGCACACTTTGCAGCACTGACACAGGACTCACTAGTGGCGTCTGAGTGACTGTCACTAGAGGTGTTACTAGGCAGCAATGTAAACACTGCCTTTTCTCTGAAAAGGCAGTGTTTACATTGAAAAGGCTACAGGGACATGCTACAGGCACCAGAACAACTACATTAAGCTGTAGTTGTTCTGGTGACTATAGTGTCCCTTTAAGAATTGTATATTTCCGAACTTTTTTAGCAGACTCCTAGATTCCAAACAAATTTGTCAAGCCCTGGTTCAAGACAACCTCTAATGGCGTTTGCTGGATTTTCCCGGAGTTTAACTCTCTGAAACAACGTTGGAAGTCCTCTGCTTTGCATGAAGACGTCCAGCATTTTTAATATAAGCATAGGAAAGCACTGATTCAATGCTATCCTATGGGAAGCTCTAATGCGCATGTGCATTAGATCCACCATCAGCATGACCTAAAGGTGAGTGAAAAAAGGGGTTTTAACCCTTTCATGTAGGCAGGGGTTACAGACCTAATGTTAGGGACAGGGGCACACTATAGCATTAGGAATGCAGTTTAGTATTCCTAGCACTATAGTGTTCATTTCAGCACTGTGTCTTCAATTAGTTTGAGGAGGGGCAACTATCACAAGCATCTCTGGTGGGTAAGTATACTTGCAAACATACAGAAGAGATTTGCCAAGTGTGGCTAGACACACCCTAAATGTCCACACTTGTAAAGGACCACTTAACACAAGTATAGCACTCCAGTTTACACTTCTGTTCTTATGTGGCAGTTTGAAATAGTTCCTTATATTGCCAAATATACAGATTATAATTTATCTTTGTAAATGCTGTGAATGTGATAAGTAAAAACTTGTTCAAGGGATGTGTATCCAGCAATCTCAAGTGTCAGCGCCAGTGCGTAAACAATAAATGCCTTTTATTTTTTGCCAAGTACATAGATGGTCAAGATATTGGGCAATGTCGTGCGCAGCACATTTCATTATGGTGTACATCAGAGATTTTAAAAAAAATAAAAAACCTCAAAACAAATAAAATAAATATATTTACTGAAAACCCAACAAGATCTCTTCTAGTTCTATTGCATTTGCACTTTTATTGCACTAAGTAATCCACACAAAAATACCTTACTTATATTTATTGTATTTGTTGTATATGGAATGTGGGTTGTTACATAGGGGAGTCAGTCTGATAGTTCCCAGGGTGGCAAGCTACAGAACGCAATGTCCAAACCTTGAGGTGTTACAGAGCACAGTTTCTGGATGTGTTTTATGCTGAGAAGCTCTGGAAAATTTCATGTAGGCGGTAACAGGTGATACACCAATCATTAGGCAGGAGAATAAGCAACTATATTATCAAAAAAATTAACGGTGTGTAAAATTTCTGGTTTTCCAAGCATATAGTGGCAGTACAGTACAAGTGGGATATAGCAAGATTCCAAGAAAAAGCATGGGTGAATCACAAGATGACAGCCTGAAGCACCTTCTGAGGAAAAAAGAAATGTCGAGCCTCTAATGCCTCATAAGGTGCTAAAGAATGACCATATCTTCTAGAGCCTTCTCAACCACTGCTCTGGTGGAATGCGCCTTCACTGGAAAAGGTAATGTGGTGGAATCTCGGTAAAAATAAATTTAGTAGGCCGAGATTACCACGTGGCATGTGTACGTGCATATGCTGACGTATCGATCAGTTGGTTGCACGAGGCAAGATACGATCAGTAGTGTACGGAGCATGTGCAAGAATACAGGATGTAGTATTCCCCTCCTCCATTGTGCTGGACAAGCCATGCGGTCAAGCAGGAAGTTAATTCTTATTTGTAATGATTGGTCAAGAGAATGTGCGGGTGGAGCTTAATATGGGAGGAGTTATGTGCCTATATAGGGAGCCTGCACTATTGTTCAGGGCTCAGAACTTGCTGTATTTTTGGTGACATTAGTCCCTCTGAGTCCCGATCGGTGATCCAATAAAGAATCTCTTCCTTCCTGAAGAAACCTGTGTCCATCCCTCTGTGCTTTGCTTCCGTCAGTTTCTCCGGTATCAGTAATATGAGACCACTGACCTTCTATGCCAACATTATAGTATTTATCTGTTATCTGGCAATATTAGTTTAGAGGCTTCTTTGCCTAGGCGTTTTCTATGAAAATTTGCGAACAGGTGATCTAAAGACCTGAAGTCAGCTGAACAGTGAAGATAAATTCTTAAAGCTAATTTGACATTCAAAAGGTGACACATTTCTTCTTTCAGAGAGGAAGGAGACTGGCAAAATGAGGGAAGTAAGATTAGCTGATTAATATAGTCTTTGAAGGGGGGGGCCGGACCGCCATGCTGACCGGTCGCATGCAGGAGAGCTCCAGAGAAATCTGGCCTCTTAGGCCGAAATTTGCAGTCTTGGTACCCAACATGAGCCCACGAGACACCCACACGGTGGTGGAAGGGGTGGCAGACCCCGAGATTGGGAGTTCTGGGTCCCCTGAGGGGGGCATGGGGCTTCGGGAGCTGAGGCCTACTCGGGTGGGGAGCATGGTGGACGGCCGCTGCCCTTTCTCCTTCCCCAACTGCCACACACCGGCTTTCTGAGGCACCTGGGGCTGGGGGAGGGTTATCCCGGTCCCCAAAACTCGAGATATGTGGAGACTAGGTGGCAAGGAACCCCAAAGGCCTACCTTACAAGATGGCGGCAACGCCGAGCCCGGTACCAACGGCACGCACCTTGTTAACCTCAGGGAAGAGAAGTCACACCACCCACCACACTGAAAGACTGCAAAGCAACTCCAGTGAGATGTGCCAGACACCGCATGGAAACATCAATGAGCAGTTCCCCTGGATCCTGCAGTACATCGCAGCACAGTATCGGCTTTCAACAAGCCCGGAGGGCGGAGGGCTGGTCTGTGCGGACTCTGCAGGGCTTAAGCTGCCACAGCCATGGCTCCCAGAAGGACTGGTGCACATGCCTCAGGAGAGGGCTGGGGGAGAGGACCAAGCAGCTCAACTTACCGACAAATGATCCGGCGCTTCCAAATCAGGAGGGCTCCTGCACCCCTGCTCCTCAACCAAACATCAACTACCAGATAAGCGAGTTATGGAGGGGGAGATCTCAGAATGGGACCCACAGACCCTGAACAGGGAAATACCCGTGAACAAGCGGCGGGCTGCTTCCTTAACATAACTGGAGCTAGAGGTGCGAGACCGGAGGATCCCAGCGGGCCACGCAGATCATCGCCTCGTACATGTACTTGGTCTACTCCCACTGTCCACTCAATATACCCGATCTAAGCATAGGCGGACATTTTATTAATTCATTAATCTGAGCCTACCCTAAACTACATAACTGCCATATTGCTTGCTATAGATTATCTCACAGTTTTTTGTTCATGATTTGAATGACTAAGTTTTCATCTGTTATTAGTAGTCTGACATGCAGGCCTAGCAAACATATAGGCATGTGTCACTATACAGATATACTGGAAGTTTATACCGCTGTTAATCTTGCAACATTTTCAAAACAAATTCTCTTGTAATTTCCCTACAATAGCCTCAGTATAAGCGGCAACATATTCTTGTCTAGCATACTAACAAGCTGTATATACTTCTTGACATGCACAATCCATGCTTATAATTATCTCTGTTTAATGTCTAGTTCATGTCAGGATTTCACGCTTCTAGAATGATCTATATATATATATATACAAAAAAAAGTGCAAGTCTCTCAACATGACCGTTGTGTACCTGCAATTTCCTTTGTCACATTAACTGTCCATGTCATGTCATTACCTGCTTATCCTATGCACTACAAAAATAAAGAATTAAAAAAAATATATAGAACGGTTTCAACTTCTTTGTCTAGATGAAAATTGTCAAATGGAGAGAGCTTGAGAGATCTCACCTACCTTCCTGGCAGATGTAATCGCCACTGGAAAAGCCTTATGGAAAATAGCAGTTCAAACTAAGGAGCTTAGGCTTAGGATTTCTTTTAACAATTCAAATGTCTGAGAGAGATTTTCTTGAAACTAGCTAAGATTTCATCTCCTTCTGCTTTGTTTTTTCCAATAATTCAGCAGAATTTGGTTGCAAGTCTTTTTCTTGCATCCATCTGGAAGTGGCAAAGCATACCCACTACAGGTTAAATACTTATACTTATAAGAAGCTATTAAAGGTGAAGGGGTGGGCACTCCCCCAGGCAACAACATATGTGCCTCACCAGAATGTTGGCGGTATAAGAAAGTAATAGTGAGGTAATTTTGGGAATGTCAGCATTTATAGGGTGAGTAGGAGGGCTTTACAATTGTTTTACGTTTTTTCCACAGAGTTACTTGTACAGCACTAGAAAGTTCATCCCACTTTACTATAGTGCCACTATACAGTTGTGCTCAAAGTTTGCATACCCTTGGAGAAGTGGTAATATATGTACAATTTTTTAAGAAAACATGAGTGAACAGGCAAAACATATTTCTTTTGTTTCTTTTGGGATTTATATTCAACTGTAGGTTGTAACGGAATCGCACAATCATAAAACAAAACATGAATGAATTAATGGCACAATCATAAAAGAAAAAAATTAAATGACCCCTGTTCAAAAGACTGTATACCCTTAATTCTTAATACTGTGTATTTCCCTGGTTAGCATCAATGACAGCGTGCAGTCTTTTGTAATAGAAGCCTATGAGGCCTCGAATTCTTGAGGGTGGTATAGCTGCCCATTTGTCTTTGCAAAATGCCTCCATGTCATGCAAAGTTTTTGGTCGTCTTGCATGAACTGCATGTCTGAGATCTCCTCAGAGTGGCTCGATGATATTAAGGTCAGGAGACTGTGATGGCCACTCCAGAACCTTTACCCTTTTCTGCTGTAACCACTGAAGGGTCAACTTGGCCTTGTGCTTAACGTCATTGTCATGCTGGAAAGTCCAAGAGCGTCCCATGCACAGCCTTCATGCAGAAGAATGCAAATTGTCTGCCAGTATTTTCTGAGAGCATGCTGCATTCATCTTGCCATCAATTTTCACAAGGTTACCTGTGCCTTTAGAGGACACCCCCCCCAAAAAAAAAAAACATTGGGGAGCCACCACCATGCTTCCCAGTGGGGATGGTATTCTTTTCACTATAGGCCTTGTTGATCCCTCTTCAAACATAGCGCTTATGGTTGTGACCAAAAAGCTCAATTTTGGTCTCATCACTCCAAATTGTGCCAGAAGCTGTGATTTCGCATCAAGGTATTGTCGGGCATATTGTAACCAGGCTTTTTTGTGGCATTGGCGCAGTAAAGGCTTCTTTCTAGCAACTGGACCATGCAGCTCATTTTTGTTGAAGTATTGTCGTATTCTGCTCCTAGAAACAACCACACCGTCTTTTTCCAGAGCAGCCTGCATTTCTCCTGAGGTTACCTGTGGGTTTTTCTTTGTATCCCAAACAATTCTTCTGGCACTTGTGGCTGAAATCTTTCTTGGTCTACCTGACCTTGGCTTGGTATCAAGAGTCCCTGAATTGTCCACTTCTTAATATGTGATTTAACAGTGCTGACTTGCCTTTTAAAGGCTTTGGATATCTTTCTTTTTATCCTTTCCCATCTTTATAAAGTTCCATTACCTTGCTACGCAGGTCTTTTGACAGTTCTTTTCTGCTCCCCAAAGCTCAATATTTAGCCTGCTCAGTGCATCCACGTGACAGCTAACTCTGTAACAAGGCCAAACATTCAAGGGTATGTAAACTTTTGATCAGGGCCATTTGGGTGATTTCTGTTATCATTATGATCATTATCCTTCAATAAAATACATTTTTTTGCATGAGCAGTCATATTTTCAAAATCAATACCAAAATTTAGAAATTTTTGCCAGGGTATGCAAACTTTTGAGCACAATTGCATGCTAGAAAAAAAACTTTACAAATTCATCCATCAATAATACAAACATTCAAAGCATGTATTTACCAAATAAAATGTGTGTGCATAGTATAGGACAAGACACAGAAATATTTTGATTTTGAAAATACAGTAATATATCTATTTTTGTAGAACTTTTTTCTTGTCTGCTCCCTTTTAAAACATTTGCCATTTACAATAATCAAGAGTATATATTACAGAAATGTCCACATTAGAAGGTAGTTCTTCAACATAAATAATGAAACTTGTGCACATTCCATTATGAAATACAGAATTCTGCAGAAATCGAATTCTGCTAAAGAAACGAATGTGAGCAAAGATACTTAGTACTCATTTGAAATATGTGTACAAACTATTAAAAAGCTGTTTTAATCTGTCATGATCTTCATCACTTGGTAAAGATTAAATTCAGTAAACATGCTACAAGATACACACTGGGAAAGGTTCTTTGCTATGGCTTGTACTTTCAAATAGTTAGTTGGAGAATGATTTAGCAATTTTAAAAATCCATCCCACAAAACTTGCAGATTTACTACAATCCTCCAAGCCATAGTGGCTAGATAATCTTTTACCACTGGACCTCAACATACCTTCCCACTACAACAAATATCCATACAAAAAATGCAATTCCACGGCACACCCAAAAGCATGCATTTCTGATTAGTGGAGATAGGGCCATATGCTGTAACCAAATCCCCATATTTGTATTTATTTATTTTTTGAATTCCTTATTTTTGTGGGTATGCGTATAAACCACTTTACTTCTTTTGCAATAATGAACAATAAGTACAAGTTACAAAAAGAAAAAAAGACAGTGTATAGCACGTATAACAGCACAGATACTGATTCCACCAATTTTTGTTATTTAACCAAATCCCCATATTTGTTTGCCCCGATAAGTGATTTTACATAAACTTGCAAAATGTAAAACTGTGCGCTGTTCCTTAATCTGGATTTTGCGTATATTATTGATCTTTACAACATGTTCTGAGTGTGCGACCTAATTCCCTTATTCCTGTGGCTATATAACAGCAAGGACAAAACTACAAAAAATTATTTCAAATGCAGAAACTATATATCAACAATTACAAACTAAGCTAAAAGCCAATTTCAAAACAATCTTGAGGTTAATAAGGTTTTTTTCTTAGAGTACCACATGCTTGTAGTGTTGCTATATCCAAAAGGCATCAGAAGGCTGGAACATGATGTCACAGTGATTGCATACCTCCCATTATCAGGACTTATGTCACCGGCAATGCTCATAACAGGTGGGCCTGCTTGGAGAAAGGGTGGCACTGAAGGGGAATGTTTGACCAGCCCCCAATCTACAAGGTCTTGCAGAGAGTACTGCTAAATCAATCTCTGATAGGTCTTAGTGCCTCTGCACAGCACAAGCACGTCTGAAGATGTTCTCATGTTATGTTGCCTGAGTACAGTTCCTTGATGCTGGACACCGGGGAACTAAATCAGGACTGCAGGATAGGACCCCGAAATTGGGACTGTCAGAGAGCCTGTGAGAAATTACTGGTGAGTCATTGCTGGGCGGCCTTCTGTAGCGTACTCATCTGATCCATGAGCCAGCCGGGGTCTTCTGCTCGCCTATACACACGTCGCGTGCGATCTCTCCTCTTAAGCAGGCCCTGTGCGCTGGCTGTACTAAACGGTCACGCGGCCCACCTCACAAGCACGCTCTTAAAGGGGCAATGGGAGCCCCAAGTAATTTTCAGCACCCATTGGTCCACGACATTCTGGCACCCCCATGCATGCATGTTTTGGGTGTGTAGACATGACGTGGATAAATTAAATGTGACTTAAAGGTATTTAAACCTCCCTAGCCCTGTATACTATACTTTTGTGGTTTCTGTCCCAATACCCTTTAGTGCGTTCCTTGTTCTTTTGTGTTATATTCTGTTATTGACCTTGGCTTTGTTACTGACTCTACGTTTCTCTTTAACCCTTTACTATGTTATTTGCCTGTCTGACTGATTACTGTGTACCTGAATCTGGCTAGTTCTCGTTTTTGCTGCCTCTCTAATACCCTGACCTCGGCTCGTTACTATGCTTTTTCTCTAACATTTAGTCCAGCCATTCTAAGGCCTGGTAAAATGTTATTTCCTTGTTTTGTCCCTTGA